AGGAAGTTTGGGGAAAGGGGAAGCTTTTATTTTTGGGGGGCATTGAGTTTATGCTAATGGTGGTGGGATATTTTGGAAAAGGAAAGCAATAATGGTGGTATAACATGAAAAATGTCATCAATGTCCCTGAGCTTTAAATGCGGAACTTGTTATGTTGGTGAATGTCTTATTACGTATGTTTTCACCACAATAAAAGTGGGGGGGGGGAATAAAAGAAATGCACACTATAAAATATCAAGAAAGTAAAATGTTGGTTTGGGGAAAGAACATTGATGTTGATAAATTACTAGAAAGAGAGAAATAAAAGAGGGAAAGACAAGAAAAAGACACACACACACAGAGAGAGAGAGAGAGAGAGAGAGTGAGAGAGAATTAAGAATAAAAAAGTACATCAATACAGATCTTACAAATATTTAAAAAACTGAATAATTAGATGGAAGGGACAAATTAATATAAAAAAGACAACTTTCACAACTATCACAGAAAGATACACCAATAAAAATATAGATAATTGTATATATTTAAAATAAAATAGATTGCTAATTAAATCTCTATGCAAAACAAAAGTGCAAATGCCTAAGGCAAAGATTGCCTCAAGTTCAAGTCTTACACAGTTAAGGAAGAAGTTAACACCAACTTGAAAACATTTCCAGCTAATAGAATCAAAGGTACCACTTCTTAACTCTTTTTATGAAATCAGCAAACTTTAGTTCCAAAATTTGATAAAATATTTTCAAAATAATAATTTGTTTATATTAAACCAAATCAAACTCACTGTCATCGAGTCGGATCCGCTTATAGCAACTCCTCCTTGGGTTTCCAAGGCGGTATTACTATGGAAGTAGATTGCCCAACCTTCCTTCTGAGGAGAGGCTGGTGGGCTTGAACTGTCAGGCTTCTGGTTAGCAGACAAATGCCTTAAGCACTACTCTGGCAGTGCTCCCTTGTGTATATTGTTGTTGTTGTTATGTACCGTCGAGTCGAACCCGACTCATAGTGACCCCTCCTTGGGTTTCCAAGCCAGTATCACTACGGAAGTAGATTGCCCTATCTTCCTTCCGAGGAGTGGCACACAATAAATATCTATTTAGAGAAAATTCTGTACTAAAAAGATTTTATTATGACTATGTAATAAGTACTGCATAACAGATGAGCTGTTATTTCATACAATCACACAACCACAAATCCCACCATTACTTCTAGAGAAGTGTTATGTTTTTAAATGATATAGTTATATCATATTTAATTTATGTCATTATATTGTGATAGAAGTGATACTAAGAACATAGGCAATTTTTAAAAGTGGAATGAATTCACATTGGGATTATTTAGGAAAATTTTATGTGAATAAAGGAGAAATCTAACTTACAGTATGTACAATAAGTTTGTCATTTTTGGGCTAGTAAGTCTATGAATTAAAACCAATATTTGACAATTACATATTTGGCATTTCACTTATTATAATTTGGTTGGTCATAGGGGAATTTTTGCAAAAGTTTAAAATGGCAAATATTTTAACAGTAAATAAATTTAGACATTTGTGCATGATAATTTATTTCTCCCCTTTAAAAATTATTTTAAAAAAAGACAAAACTTACTCATCAGATAGAGACTTTTGGAACCCACGAGACTATGGCCCTTAGTCACCCTTTGGACCTCAAAGTGAACTCAATCCCGGAGCTGAATTTTCAGTCAAGCAAAAGACAGGTCTACAAGGTGAACAGTAAGTAACTCTATGAAGGCAGACAGTCCTTAGAACTATCAAGATGCAAAGGGTAACATTTGCCCAAGGGCAAAGTTCAGAAGGCAGGAAGGATTAGGAGAGAAAGAGGAACAGAAGTGAGAAACAAAGGGAGCATGTGGGATGAGTGACATGAGGTTGAGGAGATGGCATTTGATAACATGATACAAAATATGTGTGAATTGTTGAATGGAAAACTGATTTGCTCTGCAAGCTTCCACCCAAATCACAACAAAAAGTTTAATCAAAATAAGAAAATCTTATGCGTCACAACAGGAAAAAAATCCTTCTAGAAGCATCAAGGAAGAGTCTCTTCCAATTAACATCACTTTTATCAGGTCTCATTTATCAAGGCTAGTTGAGTACACAAGTTAATACTAAAACTACCACCAAATAAGTCCTGTCTTGTCAGGGAGCTCATGAAAGGAATGGGCTTCTGGCCACCAGGGCATGCCTCACAGTTACTTTGTATTTGACAAAGGATGATGCAGAACTTTATGCAATTAATCCTGGCAGCCTAAAATCTAAATTAATGCCAGGGGTAGTAAAATATAACAAGTCTTAAGACATTTCTGAAAAGACATGATCGCTCCTCTCTAGGAGATTATAGGTTTGCAGTACTTTGGACAAAGCATGCTACAGAATTATAAAATACTTAGTATGAGGGGATTTTCTTGAATCTCAATGCACAGCTGAAATTACTACATGTAGCATATTTGTGTGTATGTGTGTGTGACATATAGCCAGTCTCCTTGGGCTGTGTTGTGGGGTTTATGACTGTGATTGTCCATGTGTGAGACACATTTACATACATACACAAGTATCTATTAAGTATATAATAGATAATCAAAAACAATCAGAGGCAACAAATAATATTAGTTTATACTTACATAAGAAGCTCTGGTGGCACAGTGCCTAAGGCATTTGACTGCTAACCAGAGGGTTGGTGGTTCAAACCTACCAGCTGCTCCACAGAAGGAACATGGGGCAATCTAATTCTGTAAATATTTACCACCTTGGAAACCCACTATGAATCAGAATTGACTTGATGGCAGTGTTGCTGTTGTTATATGTGCCGTCAAGTCGGACCTGACTCATAGCGACCCCTCCTTGGGTTTCCGAGGCAGTATCACTATGGAAGTAGATTGCCCATTCTTCCTTCCAAGGAGTGGCTGGTGGGTTTGAACCGCCAGCCTTGTGGTTAGCAGTCAAGTGCCTTAGGTACTACACTACCAGAGCTCCCTGATGACAGTGGGTTTTTTGTTTTGTTTTGTTTTAATACTTACATAGTACTTAGACTTTCAAAGATTTTTCAAAATTAAAAAGCTAATTTTTATCTTCACAATAATCCTGTGAGGTAATTAGGAAATATTATCCTCATCAAATTATAAATAGGCTTTTCTTATTTATTATTTTATTGTTTTCTAATGTTCATTAAACTGAAAAAATAGTCATTTGTATTACAAAGGGTTTTTCCTGCATGTGGAGTCAATAAAAATCACTGAATGGTCCTCAAAGTTACAAGATGACAGATTTAGGATTAAGTCATATATATCTCTGTGTGTGTGTAAGTATAAAGATTGATCAGATTTGGAGACTGGTGCATTTTAACAAGAATGTCTAGGAAAAACCAAACTGACCCTGTCTCCTTTCTATGTACTTTCCACATATCCTCCATTCACTCTGATTCTGTCTTTCAGTGTTTAGAGATCTTATGGGTGATGGTGCCTGCTACTCCATTCTCCCCTAACAGACTCCTTAGATAATGTGCCACATTCCAAATGTTTTCATGGATTGTATTATATATCAAAATTTTCAGAGCCCTGATTTTGATAAGTTCCACTGTTTGTCTCAAACTAATAAAATAAATTTTATTACATAATTTTGTTCACAAATTACTGTGAACTATTCAATACACCAACTCACCTGAGAAAATTGCATCTATAAAAGGAACCTCAAAGGTAATAGTTTTTCATTTAAAGGAAGTACAGCTTTAAACCAATGGGGCAGGAAGACAAAGACGTTCCTGGTAATCCTTCAATCACACCTCTTGGTCAACTGCTTCCACCATCTTTACTAAGAAAGCTGCCTAGGTACTCAGAATTAATAAGACAATGTGTTTTGCCTGGATGTACTTACAGGTCACTGTGGATGAGTCCATAAATCTGAGGCATGCTCTGATGATAGATTCCTCTCAGGATAACTATGAGGAGAATCACAACAAAAGCTGGAAGTCCCCAACTCAGAAGGAAAAAGAGCAGATATCGTCTCTCTGTGTGTTCATCATTCATCACTAGCACGTACCAGAAATTCACAGACTAAGGAAGAAAACAGAACATAAAATGAATAAGGCTCTGTTTAATGGCACCGGACACACAGTCATCAATCTGTTTTAGGCACGAAGATTAAGTGACCAATACAGGGATAGAATCTATTTAATAATTATAGCTTTAATTTGAATTTTTTAGTCAGTTCATTGATTCATTCTTTCATATATCCAAGAAATTCAAGGTGCTCCAAAAATCCACAAACATAAGGGACATTTCATTTATTTAGTGTAGTTCTTATTTGACTTAATTTTCTTTGATTTAATCTCAGTTATGTTCTTCTATGATTGTTTCATAAATAATGTTTGAAGAAACATACCGTGATTATTTAACTACTTCCCATGTGAACAACTTCATGATGATAATGAAGTAAATAGCTTCATGTTCCCATACTTTTTGGACAATTTCTATTTAGAGAGTACTTATTATATGCCAGGCACTGTTTCAGGGAGTGGTGATACAATTGTGAAGATAGCCCCAGTATCAGTCTCTAGTGGGAGATGTAGGTAAGTAAATAGAAAATGATTGCACAGAAAAGTTCTGTGGTGGGGTATATTTTGTGGCTCATTTTCCATTCTAGTTTATACTATCCCCTTCTATTCACTCAACACGTATTTATTGAAACTTACTAAATTTCAGCAACAAATCTAGGTACTGAAAATAATAGCAATGCAACATATGAGTGAGGTATTCCTGAATTTTATTTTCCAAAGGAAAAAAAAAAATAACTAAGGTGCTTATTTTACATTCATATCATATTTTACATCCACTTTTTATTTTATTAAGATAAACCTATAAAAAGGAAACTTATGTAGACAGTGAAGGGGGGCATAGATAAAGTAAGAAAACTGAGGTCTGGAAATGTAATGACTGGCCCCAAACCCCATGCTTAGCTTAAATCTAAGCCAAATCTAAAAGTTATGTATTCTTCCTTCTAGTATGCGATGAGGAATGCTTCTATGTAATTATCATGTAGTACAGTAAAGACATTTAATGTTATGTTACATATATTTCATACAAGTAATAACCATTTTCTAGATAAATCCTGCTTCCCAATTTGGAGTGGTGGAAAGAGCACAGGTACAAACCAAAATAAAAACAAACTCACTGCCGTCGAGTCAAATCCGACTCATAGCGATCCATCCTTAGGTTTCCGTGGTGGTATCATACAGAAGTAGATTGCCCAATCTTCCTCTCGAGGAGTGGCTGGTGGGTTTGAACTGCCAGCCTTCTGGTTAGCAGTCAAATCTCCTAGGCACTATGCCACCAGCGCTCCCTTCCATGGGTACGAAAGAATTATAATTCAAATTTTTTTTATGAAGAAGCGATAATTTCAGCCAACAAAAAACCCTTCCAGAACCTCAGTTTCTCCATGTGTACAATAAGGTTGTTATAAAGATTAAATAAGATACTACAAAGTACTGAGCACAAAGTCAACATGTGAAAATTTTACCACGGCCCATAAATCTCTTATTGTGATGTCAGACAGTTTGAAAATCAAATATAAATAGTCCTTAAAAGTAAGTATTGATACAAAGGAAACCCTTTCTGTGTGAAAAGTAAGCATACCTAATATTTGAGGGAAGGCTTTTAGATGGTATTTACTAAGGCTTTTGCTTTACATTTTTTTTTGGACCAAATTAGCCTGCAAGGATTAATATCAAGTTAAACCATGGAAGGATAAAAATTCTTGGTTACATTGAGATTTTTATCTCTGAATTTTATTATTGGCACCCAGTATGTTGCCACTCCATATCTTTACGTGCATCTGCAATTTTGATACATGTTTTGAATTGCTACTTATGCAAATTTGTTCTACCTCCTTAAAAAAAAATTATCAGGTCCAAGAAGGTGTTCCCCTCACACCCTTTATATACTTAATACAGGGTTTGGACCCAGATAAGTGGGAGCATGTGAAATGTCCAACGCTGTACTCATTAATACTTCCTACTACAGAATGAAAATTCACAAAAGTAAGGCTCATTGATTAACTCATCTTCAAAATAAAAGTACTAACTATAATTTAAACAGCTGTTTCTGGGCATCTATATCAAATGGTAACTCAGTGATGCAACAAGTAGAAGAATCAGGAAGAAGAGCACAAATAGGTAAATGACTTACAAGTAGATTTATCATGAGAAAGGCTGAGACACTCCCAAAATGTCTGCTTTTACAGAGATGGACATTTGTTCCATTAGTTAGGATCATTGAACCTTTCAACAACTGTCCGACCTCTACCCCGGTTCAGATAAAACTGAGACAAACATAACAGATTGCTAGATTTATACACATAGTGCTTCTGCTCCAGAGAGCTCAAGGCAGTACGGTGCTGAAATCTTTAATACTTACTTAAGCAACCCCCCTAAAAAAAAAACAAACTTACAGACATGGAGTCGATTCTAACTCATAGTAACTCCCATTGGGTTTCTAAACCTGTAAATCTTTACAGAAGCAGACTGTCTCATCTTTCCTTGGCAGAGCAGCTTGTGGGTTTGAACTACCCACCTTTTGGGTAGTTAACCTTAACCAGCACACCACCACCAGTTAAACAAAGCAAGATCCAAATCCCATAAGCTTTTGCATAAAAAAAAAAAAAAAAACCTTCCCTTCTTGAAAGAATCCAGTCACTTAAGTAAATCATCAAAGGAATAATCTAAAGATATTATTTCCTTCTTCTTCTTCTTTTTTTTTGCCACAGAATACTCTGTAATGAGACAACTTTTAATTATTTTATATTTTAATTACTTTATAGAAATTTGAAATGACTGAAGCATAAGTTTTTTTTTTTTTTTTTTACTAACTCAAGTTTTACTTGAATTTTAAAATAGTAAGATAGATGTATTTTGGGATATATGCCTAGCTCCTGAGCTTCCAGGGCTGGGTTTGGGGGCTGCTTTTCACTTAGGGGCAGCTCTATAAGGCCCAAGGTAGGCAGCCCAGGACTTGGGGCTGCTTTTTGCTTAGGGGCAGCTCTATTTTAAGGTTGGGGCCCAAGGTAGGTGGGCCCAGGGTTGGGGGCTGCTTTTCTCTTGGGGATGGCCATTTATTAATGCCAGGGCCCAAGGTAGGTGGGCCTGGGACTTGGAGGTTGTTTTCACTTGGGGGTGGCTCTATATTAAGGCTGGAGCCTAAGGTAGGCAGGCCCAGGACTTAGGGGTTGCTTTTCACTTGGGGGAGGCTCTATATTAAGGCCAGGGTCTGAGATAGGCTGGCTCAGGGCTTGGAGGCTGCTTTTTGCTTGTGGGCGGTTCTATTTTAAGGCCATTGCCTGAGATAGGCAGGTGCAGAGGGATTAGGAACAACCAAGGGAGATGAACTTGTCTGTCAGTTTGTTGTCCTATGGTGGCTTATGTGTTGCTGTGAGGCTGGAGGCTACACCACCATGTTGCAACATCCCAGCAGGGTTACCCATGGTGGACAGGTTTCAGCAGAGCTTCTGGTCTAAGGCAGACACAGAAGAAAGAAGGAGTCATCCACCTCTCAAAGAATTGGCCAGTGAAAACCTTATGAATAGCAGTGAAACACTGATGTATTATGGGAAAACCTGATGAATAGCCCTGCAACACTGACTGATATACTGCCAGAAGATGAGCCCATCAGGTCAAAAGGCACTCAAAATTTGACTGGGGAAGAGCTGACTCCTCAGAGTAGAGCCAACTTTAACAATATGGATAGAGTAAAGCTTTCAGGACCTCCACTGGCTGATGTGGCATGGCTCAAAATGAGTAGAAACAGATGTAACCATCCATTAATAATCGGAATATGGAATGTACGAAGTATGAATCCAGGAAAATTGGAAGTTTTCAAAAATGAAATGAAATGCATAAAGATCAATATTCTAGGCAATAGTGAGCTTAAATGGACTGGTTTGGGCCATTTTGAATCAGACAACCATACAATTTACTATGCCAGAAATGACAAATTAAAGAGGAATGGTGTGGCATTCATCATCACAAGCAGTGTTTCAAGATCTGTCCTGAAGTACAATGCTGTCAGTGATAGGATAATATCCATATGCCTACATGGAAGACCAGTTAATACGACTATCACTCAAATTTATGCACCAACCACCAAAGTAAAAGATGACAAAGTTGAAGAATTCTACCAACTTCTGCAGCCTGAAATTGATTGAACATGCAATCTAGATGTGTTAATTATCACTGGTGACCAGAATGCAAAAGTTGGAAACAAAGAAGAGTTACCAGTAGTTGGAAAATATAGCCTTGGTGATGGAAATATTGCATGACAGAATTTTGCAAGACCAACAACTTATTCATTGCAAGTACCTTTTTTCAACAATGTCACATGGACTTCACCAGATGGAATACACAGAAATCAGATTGACTACATCTGTGGCAAGAGGCGATGGAAAAGTTCAACATCGTCAGCCAAAACCAGGCCAAGAGTAGATTGTAGAAGATACCATCAACTGCTCGTATGCACATTCACTTGAAATTGAAGACAATTAAGACTAGTCTACAAGAGCCAAAATATGACCTTGATAGTATCCCTTCTGAATTCAGAGACCATTTAAAGAACAGATTTGATGCAGTGAACACCAATGACTGAAAACCAGAGGAACTGTGGGATGACATCAAGAAAACCATCCATGAAGAATGTAAGAGTTCATTAAAAAGACAAGAAAGGAAGAAGAGCACAAAATGGATGTCAGAAGAGACTCTGAAACTTGCCCTAGAGCAGAGAGTAGCTAAAGCAAATGGAAGAAATGACAAGATAAAAGAGCTGAGCAGAAGACTTCAACGAGGAGCTCGGGTAGGCAAAGCCAATTACTATAATGAAAGAAAGATATTTACTTATGTTTTACTGACTATATGCAAAAGCATTCAATTGTGTGGATCATAACAAACCATGGATAACATTGAGAAGAATGGAAATTCCAGAACACTTGATTGTACTCATGAAGAACCTGTACATAGATCAGGAGGCTCTTGTTCAAACAGAACAAAGGCATACTGCATGGTTCAGAATCA